TCCCGCCATTCTCCTGCCTCAGCCTCCCGAGTAGCTGGGACTACAGGCGCCCGCCACCTCGCCCGGCTAGTTTTTTGTATTTTTTAGTAGAGACCGGGTTTCACCGTGTTAGTCAGGATGGTCTCGATCTCCTGACCTCATGATCCGCCTGTCTCGGCCTCCCAAAGTGCTGGGATTACAGGCTTGAGCCACCGCGCCCGGCCAGGAAGAACTTTTTAATAGCATCTGCCACAAAGGTAGCAAGGTTCCTGACATGAGAAGGATCCAACCACCGTGGCAGGGTTAGAGGGGAGTCAACTCTTAAAAGTCCAGGCTTTTTTTCCTGCCAGCCCTGCTGAGTAAAGCCTGGTGTCCAGACTGCTCGGGAAGTGCAAAGCCTGCCCACCACATCAGGGAACTGCAGGCAGGGACGGACTCCCTAGCTCAGGCCTTCCCCACCTTCCCCACAGGGGTTCTCTCTGGGAAATTGCCCCTTGCTTCACCCACTCCTGGCCTCCTGCTGTGCCATTTCCAGGAAAGAAGCTAGCATGACCTTCATTGTTCAAGACCCCCAAGTTCTTAGGTCCAGTCTAAACCGTTCCTGGGGCTGGATGAAAAATGCGTCTGTGGGCTCTGTTTCCCATGACTGTAGGTATGACTGGCCCACTCCTTTCGGTGAAGAAGTCCTTTGTTGACCAGAGAAAAAGGGGCTGCAGTGGGTAACCCTTCCCTTTGGACTCAGCACTTCCTTGGTTAGTCTGAAAAGTCTTCAGTGCTTTGTCCACTTTCCTTGAAGTGAGAAAGCAGCAGAGTCCTGCATGTCCACTTTCCTCCTCTCCCTCTGCTGGTGATGACCCTCGGCAGGTGGGCAGCCCTGGGCAGCTCTGCCTCGCTCCAGTTCCTCTAGCTCATCAACTGATTTCCTCGGTAGGAGTCACTCACCGCGCTCCCTGTGATTCACTCACTGGGGCTGGTTAACCTGTTTACCTTCCTGCCTCTCTGCTGAGTAGGAGTGGCCCTGGATCCCTCCCTCCGGCACGCCCGACAAGCTGCCCTCCTGTGACTGCCGCTCTGCCCGCTGGGCTCGCACCAACTGCCCCCGACCCTGGGAGGTCTCTGCCCGATCCCTACTTAAAGTGTAAAGGGAAAAAAGAGCTTTGAAATCAAACACACTTGGTTTGTGACTCAGCTGCTAACCTGAGATGCCCTGGCTTTTCTTTGGAGCCTGGCGGGGAGTGGGGAGTGGGGAGGCGAGGGGGAGGGGATTGGGGAGGCAGGGGATGATTTCTGAGTCCCAGTTTCACCACTTGCTGTCTGTCTGAAGCTGAGCCAGTTACTTAACTCTCTGGGCCTCAGTTTCCTCATCCATAAAATTAGAGTAATCATGATACCTACTTTCAAGGTGTGTTGTGAGAAATAATTTAAAGCAGATCATCTGATTTAGATTCATTTGTAAAAATGTCTGGCACATAAATATATACAAGCGTTATTACTGTTTTTTTTTTTTTTCTTTGAGACAGTGTCTCACTCTGTGGCCCAAGCTGGAATGCAGTGGCATGATCTCAGCTCACTGCAACCTCGGCCTCCTGAGGTGATTCTCCTGCCTCAGCCTCCCAAGTAGCTGAGACTACAGGCATGCATAACCATGCCTGGCTGATTTTTGTATTTTTAGTAGAGATGGGGATTTCACCATGATGGCCAGACTGGTCTTGAACTCCTGGCCTCAAGTGAGGGGCTCTTTTAAACAACCTTGTTTGGGCTCCATCCCAGACCCCTCAATGCCCGCCTTGGCCTCCCAAAGTGCTGGGATTACAGGCGTGAGCCACCGCGCCCGGCAGTTATTTTTTAATTAAATAAATAAATAAATAATGTATGTTCCCTTGTTCAAACTATTTCCTCTTGCCAAGCCTTAATTTTCCCATCTAAAAAAAAAAATGGGAATAATACTGCCCACCTCCCTGGACTTGTCAGTATTAAATAAGAGAGTGTCTATAAAGCACCCAGCTTTAGGGTGTAGCACATCATGTGACAAGGTCAAGCGCGTAGTGTTTGGTGGGTGTTGAATCTCCTTCCCCTGTGCTGGGGAGCCTTCCCCGACTCCCCTCCCCTCCTAGGTGTTCTTGCCTCTTCCTAACTCCCGCAGCAGCCCTTCAACCAGGAGGGATTCTTTCTGGGCGGATGGCTGCTTCCCAGTCTGCAGTCCCCAGAGGCAGGGCTTCTGGCCTCCTTTCCCCGGCTTTTTCCTGGACTGTCTAGGGACAGCAGAACCTAAGAACTGTGCAGCAGAACCTAAGAACTGTGCAGGCCTCGCCCCGTTCACCCCTGCCCTCCCTCTCCATCTCTCACTGACATATTTTCAACCACAAATATTTATTGAGTGCCCACTGCCCCGCCTGCTGTCCTTCCCCCTCCTGCTGCATCCCTCCCCTCCACCAAGGCCTTAAGGGGTGAAGATGTCTGCAGGCACCAGGGGGAGAAAAACGAGGTTGAGGGGAAGTACCCAAGAAAGCTCTGAAATGAGATGGAAACCATGTCTGCCTGGAAATTTCATTCACTCAACGCCCCACATCTTGGGTATTAAAAAGAGGCAGAGTTTTGGGATTAGGCATAAACAGGATGAGTCACAGCTCAGTCACTCTCTCTGTGATGTTGTGACTTGCCTCTCTTTGCCTTAGTTTCCTCAAGTGTAAAATAGGGATGACAATAGCACCGGCCTGGGAAGACGTGAGAATGAAATGAGATGCCAGTGGACACCTTAGCAGTGTCTGTGCACACAGCAGCTTCTTAAGGAAATGGTCCCTACCCGGGACATTATACAGACGTTAATCAACAACATGGCCCGGCTTTTTTTTTCTCTCTCTCTCCTGGACAGGACGTCCCAACCTTTCTTAGTCCATAACACACCTTTGGACATGATGGAATATGCGAAGGGGCCTCCACCCACAGCATGACAAATCCCAAGCATCCATAATCGCACACATACCAGTGTGTGCACACACACACTCACACCCATAAAGATCTGACACTCCTTGAAGGCACACTAACTCACTATGTTATCATACTTACCCCAGTGTGCCACAGTTACTGGTTTATATGCCTGTCTCTGCCATCTTATTTTATCTGTCTCCAGAACACAGCAAACTACATGCCCTTCAATAAAGGGTGTATGAATTATTCATGAATCCATTTTGCCTGGTGCCTAGCCCTGTGTCTGGCTTGACGCAGGTGTCCCCAAGGTGTGGCATGGCTGGGTGAATGCAAATAAAAGGTATATAAAAACATTCAGCCCTGCCCTCCTCTCTTCTCCACGCTCACCACCCGCTCACCACTCGCTCCGGTTTCCAGACCCAACATTGGCAAAACAGCACTGACGAAACCCAAAACTTCAGGACACACCCAAGCACGTAAAGGTCAGGCACCTGGGCAGGTCAACAGTGCGGCATTTCAGCCTGGGTCTTTTGGGGGAACAGCTTCACAAGGGGCTGCTCTCTAGCCTGACCCATTCTCCTTGTTCTGTAAGGCCCCTGCCTCCAGCCTTTGGGCTCACTTGCAGCCCTAACCTCCACGAACCCCCACTTTGCTTTCTCCATAACAAATTCCCTTCTAAACAAAGACTGACAGCACCCACCTCCGCAGCACCTGCAAGGCCTCGCCTCCCCTCACCTAGCCTCACCTCTCCATCAGACTCTCCTGTGAGGGGGATGAGGCTGTATACTTTGCTGGCATCTTGCTCCAGAAAAGGATGGAGCTGAGCACACCCCTGCCCTTTTGCAGCACTCCCTCCCACTTGCAGGAGGGAGAAGGGAACGGGAGGAAAGGAGAAGGGAACGGGAGGGAAGGAGAAGAGAGGGCAGGGGAGGGCAACGCTGCTGCAACAACCACACTCCGGGTGAGCCTGGGGTGCTAGGACGGCTCCACTGGGCAGGGACAGCAGTCCAGCAAGCTGGAGGCTCCTCGTTTTGCCAGTGGTGAGCTCTACCTGGGACAGGGGTATCAGCTCCCACCCTCAGGTCTGAGGCTGTGCCTGCCCAGTGAGCACCTCAGCACCCCGGACCACCCTTCCAGGCGCAGGCACCAGGGAACGGGCAGAGGGACTAACCGACCTGTAGGGATTGAGGGTGCAGATGGTCACTGCGGGGAAGACAAGCTTGTCCGAGTTGAGGTTGATGTTGAGGCTGACGGGGTAGCTGAAGTACTCTCCGAAAAGCAGGCCGAATTGCCAGTACATCATGCCAAAGGTGCAGAGCCAGAGCACTGCCCAGAAGGCCGTCTTCATGCGGTTGTGCTGGGAGCACACCAGGCGGATGGCGCCGTGGATGGTGGTATTGTTGCAGAAGAACTCGAAGAGCTCTCGGTAGGAGCGGTGGAACTCGATCAGGGCCTCCTCCTCCGCCGTGGGCTGCTGGGGTGCCGCAGGTTCTGGGCCCAGCCCCTGCTCCTCACGCTTGTCCCCCTTCATGAGCCCTGGGGTGGGCTGTGGAGGGCTAGCGTCCTGCTCCTCCAGCTTGTTCCCCTCCATGAGCCCTGGGGTGGGCTGCAGAGGTCTAGGGTCCTGCTCCTCCAGCTTGTTCCCCTTCATGAGCCCCGGGGCGGATTGGGGAGAGCAAGGGTCAGGGTCAAGGCTGAGCTCTGGGCCCTGAGTGCCCTCTCCCATCACCCCTGGAACCCAAGTGAGGTTGCCCCTGGCCATGCCCACGTCCCACCCTGCGCCCACATTCTCCCACTCCTCCCTCCCTCCTCCACCTTTCCTGGAGCCAGCAGACCTGCGGGAGTTGGGGCCAAAAGTGCCGGAGCTGGGCTTCCCTGGAACAGCCTCTCCTCTGCTTCCCTGAGGGGGCCACCCTTTGGTTTCTGTCCCAGCACCTGCTTTTCTGTCTCTGCCCTCTTCCTTTGATCTTCCTCTGGGATCTGTGTCTCAGCGCCTGCCTCTCACTCCCTCTCTATCTGCCCTGTTTCTCTTTGGGTCTCTCCCAGCTCCCCTCTTTCTGACCTGGCTCCTCTCTCTAATCCTGCCTCTCTTCCTCTTCCCCACTTGCCTTGCCCCTTCTCACTCTAGGCCCTCACCTCCAGCCTCTGGCCCTGACCTCGAGCTGCGTCCTGATTCTGTCTCTACCCCAGGACTGCCGGGCTCCAGGAGGTCTGGGCTGCCTCCAGCTTCCCACTCCCAGGTTGCGGCTGGACTGGGACTGGTTCCTTTCCAGTTGAATCTGGCAGCCAAGCCTCTCCTCCCCCTCACCTGACAGGTGCAGCGGCCGGGCTGGGGAGCCTGCCCGCCGGCCGGCCAGGGATGGAAGCAACAGGAGTCTCATTAACATCTCAATTAAAAGTGAGCAGGGCAGGGGGAGGGGCTGAGGAGGAGTCAGAGCTGGGAGTTTTCCAAAGGAAGGAGGGCTCCCGAGGGCAGGTGAACTGGGAGTACTGGACCTGAGAAGGCAGACTCTGGGCAGGGGCTTTAGATGCAGACCTGACAGGCAAGGAGGCTGGGGGACAGGATGGCAGGTTACGGGCAAAGATCAGAACAAGTAGAAGGATCCTGAGCCCACAGCCAGGAGGGCAACACAAGGAGAAGGGGCCAGCCAGGCTGAGAGGGCCTGGGTGGGGAAACCGGAGGACAAGGGAGACAATAGAGAGGGACAGCAAAGGACGGAGAGATGGGGATGGAGGAGGGGCACTGAGTGAGTAGAGGCGGGTGGGGGGTGGAGGCGGAGGCAATAGGAGGAGCCAGCGCCAAAGGGAGCCTCTCTCCAGGCAGGAGAGCAAGGGGGGAGTCCCAAGTGTGCTTCCAGGAACTGCAGTCTCAGCAAGTGGGCAACCCTCTAAGGGTACCCACAGCTCAGCCTCACCCCCAGGCCCTGGAGACAAGAGAGAAGAGGTCTCTGCAAACCTCCTCCTCACTCCTTAAGTGGACGCAGCGCACTCAGGTGGGGCGCATCTGCCTCCTCCTGGTCCCTCCTGTTTCCTGCTGAGTCCTCACCACTCCCTCCAACCTTGTCCAGACCCGGGAGGGGCCCAGGTGAAGCTGGGGGCTAGGCGGGGCCTTAGGACATTCTGTTCTTTTTTACACCATTGGCTGCCAGGCCAGGAATGTGTAATCGCCCCTGTTGTGGTCACAGAGTTGCAGGAATGTGGGCAACCAGAGGCAGCACGAGGGCCAAGCAGGACACTGTGGGCACAGACCCGGAGCCCAGGGAGAGGCAGGGACAGTAGGCACTGAAGGTGCAGGGAGGACGTGGCCAGCGCTGGAAAGGAAGAGAGTGGGCATGGCGCAAGCCTGGACAGGCCCTGGGAGGAGGAGAAATTCACTGATGGGGCTATATTTTTCTCTAAAATCTCTTTCCAAACTTAATGCAGCAAAAGGATAAGGAGTGGAGTGCCAAGTGGTGAGCAAGGAGAGAAGGTAGGGTCAGAGAATCAGACCCAAAAAGGGCTCTAGGAGACTCTGGAGAACCACCCACACAGCCTGGGCCCTGCACGCAACAGGGAGGCCTGCCGCTCCCTCGAGGGCCCCACAGGAGGCAGCCAGGAGTGCAGGAATGTGGTCGCTGGCTTGTCCTGCCTCCCTCCGCAAGCCCACAGACAAAGGCCCAGCCTGAGCACTGATACACACTGGGGGAGGAGATAGGCCTGCAAATAGGTAGCTGCAATACAATAAGATAAGGTTTCTATTTGTACACTTTAAAAGATCGTCTTTAAAACGGACTTCTAACCAAAGCACAGATCTCAGATTTCTCAGAGATAAGAGATAAGAGCCAAGGGCTGGGGGAGCCTAGGGCTCACTGCAGGAGACTCAGGAAGCCTTCCCAGAGAAGGTGTCCTCTCTGCTGAATCTTGAAGAGCAAGGAGTTTAGCAGGCAAAGAGAAAAGGCGGTACTCCAGGCTCAGGGTCCAACCTGGTCTGTGGCTTCCTCTCTTGCTGCTGTCTCTTGCAACTTCTTAAAGTGAGAGCGGTGTCAACCAGGATTCCAAACCAGGTTCCCTTGCTTACCTTGATACTGCTCATGATACCTCCCCTTGGAAGGGACAGCTGGATTTTTCTTCATTGTCCTGATGAAGAAACTGACCCTTCCCAAGGATAAACCAGTTTTCTGAGGTTAGAAAACAAAATATGAGCAGAACTATAAACAGAATTCAGAATCCTCCTCCTCCTCTGGCGTTATCTACTTAGCGCTTTAGCCATTTACTTCCTGAGACAGACTCATGGGGGATCGGGGCTCCGCTGCACCAGGATGGGAAAGCCGGGAAGGCCTCCCTCACTCCCACACAGAGCCCATGGATTCATCCACTCTCTGGGTACAGGGTTATCTCCTTGGCTCTGTGAAAAGGTCTCTGCACTGTCCCCGCCACCCCACAGATCCCAGATACCCCTAGAAACTCCAGTCTCCCTTGAGCCAGGTCCTTACATTGGGCATGGTCCTCCCTGCAGACAAGGTGCTCAGCACCCTGGCTGTTTGATCTCAAAGGTTCTGAAAAGCACCTCCCTGCCTTTTCTATTTGCTAGCTCATGCCTGAAATCCAACCACTAGCTTAAAGCAGCATGGCAAATAGTTTTCGTATCAAGGGCTCTGTGAGAAGAACTGCAATGCCCGGTCTGGGCTGAGCCAGAGGGTGGTGACCCTGCCACGTCCTGCTGGGTATGGGAGTGGCAATGCAAGCCCAGTGCTGCAGCATTCTAGACCTGGAGTGGGCTGGAGCAGGCTTGGTGTTGTGAGGAAAATAGAAATCTGAGACCTGCGCTTTGGTCAGAAGTCCATTTTAAAGATGATCTTTTTAAAGTGTACAAATAAAACACAAATATGTTTTTGTGATAATACAATTTTTCAGCAATACGGAAGTATGTAGAACAATAAAAGCTTCCCTTTGTCCCCTTCCTTTCCCTCCCCCAAGGGGAGCCACCGTAATTTGTATATCTCTCTGTATCTTTTTGTGTGCCGTTATAAACTTACATGTATTTTTTATTTTTATTTTATTTTTTTATTTTTTATTTTATTTTTATTTTTTGAGACAAAGTCTGGCTCTGTCGCCCAGGCTGGAGTGCAGTAGCGTGATCTCGGCTCACTGCAAGCTCCGCCTCCCGGGTTCACACCATTCTCCTGCCTCAGCCTCCCAAGTAGCTGGGACTACAGGCGCCCACCACCACACCCAGCTAATTTTTTGTATTTTTAGTAGAGACAGGGTTTCACGGTGTTCGCCAGGATGGTCTCGATCTCCTGACCTTGTGATCCGCCCGCCTCGGCCTCCCAAAGTGCTGGGATAACAGGCGTGAGCCACCGTGCCCGGCCTACGTGTATTTTTTAAAAACAAAACATATAGTTCTTTTTTATAAGAGGGACCATGTTATAGGTATGTTTCTACAACTTACATTTTTGCTTTTATTTTCTTATTTATTTTAGAGACAGGATCATGCACTGTCCTCTAGGCTGGAGTACAGCAGCATGATCATGGCTCACTGCAGCCTCCAACTCCTAGGCTCAAGCAGTCTCCTGCCTCAGCCTCCCAAAGCGCTGGGATTACAACCATGGGAGCCACCATGCTCAGCCCCTATTTTTGCTTTTAAACTATGTGACTTTGAGAAAGGCACTTGAGCTCTGTGGGCCCCGGTGATCTTACCTGAGAAAATGAAAGGGCAAGAAGGGGTGGGTAAGGCAACCCGGATGGGCGCAAAGACTTTTTCCAGCTGACCTTGCATCTAGCCCCCTGCTTCACGCATGAGGGGACTGAGGCCCACAGAAGCAAAGTGACTTGGCCACAGTCACCCAGGAGTTAGGGGTGGGGCCAGACTGAAAACTGCGCCACTCCTTTCCAAGCTCAGTTCTCCTTCTCTGACTTTGAGGGAAGTAGTTTTATTCTATAAGAAGTCAAGAGCTTTGTAGACTCTGTCTTGGAAGGACCTCCCGCCTTCCCAGGACTACCCCCAGACTCCCCCAGAGCCCCAGCCCTTCCCGCCAACCCAGGGCTGCCTTCCCCTCCCAACACCAGCTATCCTCTAACCCTGTGGTGTGGCCATAAGATATGCACGGCTGCAGGGAGAGAAGTGAAACCAGAGGGGCTGCCGTGGGATGAGGGTTATGAGTGCACAGGGTCTTCCTGCCTCTTGTTCTCCGCGGACAGGAGATGACGGAAGTAATCACTCCAGCCTCCTAGGGAGAGCCCATCTCTGCACTTACCACTCTTTACTATTATTTATTATTATTATCCTGATGTATGTGTGTTTGTACATATGCAGGGACAGAGACCAGGTGTATTCATCTTGGTGACCTCAGTGTCTAGTGGTCACTGTTTGCTGACCCACTCTGTGGAAGACAGCAGAACTAGCATCTTTGCTAGTTTATCTTTGACAGAGCAGGAAATGCTATGAAAAAGCATCTGCAAAACTTCAAACACCCTAACTTCCTCTGACAACCCATTTATTTGTGGTCTATTAATTCGTCTAAATTTTCTTCGCTTTTCCCTGTTCACGTCTATCCTTTCCAGGATGAGAATCAGTTACTTAGTTAAATGCAAGTCTTTATTCTTACTACTTGCAGCTTCACACTGGGGGCTGCCCGCTGTGGAAGACAACAGTCTTTTCAGCTGCCCTTATGTGGTACAGATTTCTCTTTCATTTAAAACGATGGACCAGAAAAATGCCACTCTTCATCTAGTCCCCTGGCAGTTTACTTAGAAGTTCACTCCTAGAAGTTGATCGCTTTGAGTTAAGACAGGGTTTAGCAACCTTGGCACTATTGACATTTTCAGCTGTATCTTTCTTTGTGGTGGGACAGGATGATTCTGTCCTATCTACAATCCTGTGCATTGTAGGACGTTCAGCAGCATCCCTGGCTTCCATCTATTAGATGCTAGTAGCACCTCCTGAGTCATTGCGACCAAAACATCTCCAAATATTGCCAAATGACTTCTGGGGGGCAAAGTCACCCCCGTTGAAAAGACTCGGTTAAGGCATTGTCACCACTGAAAATGCAAATACTCTGGAAAAAGACAACCCTCATCAGTTATGCACTTCTGGGTGTTTGCCAGACCCTTTCCAAGAGCACTAGTCAGCTAACAGCAGAGTGGAGAAGAAGAGAGAAGAAATAGTATTTTTCTTCTGGCCGGGTGCAGTGGCTCATGCCTGTAATCCAAGCACTTTGGGAGGTTAAGGTGTGTGAATGACATGAGGCCAGGAATTCAAAAACAGCCTGGCCAACATGGCAAAACACCATCTCTACTAAAAATACAAAAACTAGCTGGGCCTGTTGGCGCATGCCTGTAGTCCCAGCTACTCAACTTGGGAGGCTGAGGCCAGGAAAATCACTTGAACCTGGGAGGCAGAGGTTGCAGTAAGCTGAGATTGTACCATGGCACTCCAGCCTGGGTGACAGACTGAGACTCTGTCTCAAAAAGAAAAAAAAAGAAGAAGAATCCATTCCCACCAACCCCCTTTCTGGATGCCTCATGGGCCTGTGGAAAGAAGGCGCTCTCAGCAGCTCCCTTGGAAGAAGTCCTGGTAGAAGAGTCCCACCCTCACACACCTTTTAGGAGTCCTGGGGCGCTCGGTCTGGGTCTGGTGGTGCTCAGTGGAAATCAGTCTCAGGGAGACTGGTGAAGAACACAAAAGGAAAGAAACAAAGACAATGCCGTGCCCGTGGTGAACTTGTGAATTTCTCACCCCTGTGAGTCTCCCTTTATCCTCCTGGGGATGGCCGGGCATTGTGGTAGCCAGTTATTGGTAAGATTTGTCTTTCATGATCCAGCTGGGAAACAAGAAACACTCTTTCAAAGTCTTTCAAACAAAGGAATTTAACACAGAGAACTAACTGGTCCATGGGTGATGGAGGAGTTGAGAAGCCAATGGGAGGTAGCTCAGAAAACAGCAGAGCAGGAAACAGCTACCATCTCTAGGCCTGGAAAGACAGCAGGGTGATGTAGCATCAAAGACCAAGAAGCCTCCGGAGCCATTTGGCAGGAACTAAATAGTGTGGACTTCTGGTAGGAGATGGGATTATGGAACGGGGAAGGAAGGAAGACAACCAACTGCAGGTGAAGCCAGAAAGCAGAGAGGGGAGAAATAGCCCGGCTGCTTCTCTCCTCCCACCCCACCTCTGTCCCACAGATCTGCAGGCAAACCAGCAGCCGACTGAACAATAAAGAGGCCACAGAGATAAAGTGATGGGGCCAGGATCAAAACCCAGATCTCAGGGCTCATTCCTTAGGGTGTACAGAGTCCGTGAGGGCTGAAGCGCCAGCTTAGGGCTGGCAGCAGAAAGAAGGATACAGTCCAGCCAGCTGGGGTGAAAAGGGGTCTGACATAGTGGTTACCTCTGAAGCAGGAAGCTTTGACTGGGAAGGGCATGTAGCAACCTTTTGTAGTTCAAGGAACATTCTGGGGCCGGGTATGGTGGCCCACGCCTGTAATCCCAGCACTTTGGGAGGCCAAGGCGGGTGGATCACGAGATCAGGAGTTCAAGACCAGCCTGGCCAACATGGCGAGACCCCGTCTCTACTAAAAATACAAAAATAGCCAGGTGTGGTGGTGGGCGCCTGTAATCCCAGCTACTCGGGAGGCTGAGGCAGAGAATTGTTTGAACCCAGGAGGCAGAGGTTGCAGCGATCCGAGATCGTGCCACTGCGCTCCAGCCTGGGTGACAGAGCAAGACTCCGTATAGAAAAGAGGAGAGGAGAGGAGAGGGGAGAGGAGGGGAGGGGAGGGGAGGGGAGAGGAGGGAGGAGAGGAGAAGAGACGTTCTGGAACAATTGAGGGATTGCAAGAATACACAAAAGTGAAGACTGTCTGAGCTGTAAGATCAGTGTACCTCATGTGTTTCACTGTATTACATGTTACACCTCTATTAAAAGAAAGGGTCTCAGCACGTAGGACAGGGTGGGGAAAAGAGGAAAAATAGAAAAGAGAAAGAGTCCCTGTCTTTTAGAGTAAACTCCTGAAATATTTTCAAATGAAATGATATGATGTCTGGGATTTACTTCAAAATAATCACGAGGGATTCGAAGAGTGTGTGCGTTGGTGGGGGAGGGGGTATACAGAATAAATGAAACTGACAGTGAGTTGAAGCTGCGTAAGGAGTATACGGGAGACTCCAAATATTACTTTTTCTCTTTTGCTATATTAACTTGCATGTGAAATTTCCACAGTAAAAAGTAAAAAGAAGAGAGAGAAAAAAGGGCCTAGGGTCACAACACACATACTCCTTTACGCATGTAAGAGCTCAGTGGGGCATCTCACCCCGGCCTCCAGCGCTCGCGCAGCGCACGCTGTTCTGACACTTCTGCCCTTTCCAGCCATCTTTGGCCCATGTGTACAGTGAGCTGCCTGCACCAGGTGAGGGGAGACAGCCTCACAGAGTGACATGCCTACAGCCTAGGCAGGTCCTTTCCCCGTTTTGTGACCTCCCCTCCCCATGCACACTTCCCATCA